TGTATACACTACTGATTCTATCATGCCAATGATATTTATACCTTGCATCATTTTCAATATCTTGGTTACCTCCTCTGTTTGGTATTTCAAATTATGCTCAAGTACTGGCATACCAAGGTGTAGAAAAGATTTCAACAATATAGACATTTGTTTTATAAAAATTAGTAAATTATTTTTTGTTGTTAGTGTTTTACATATTTGAACTAATTTCTGAACATTTATTCCTACCTCATACCATAGCTCTATTCTTTTAGGGTCTCTATTATAAGAAAAAATAATTGTATGAGATACTTATTTGATATAACAATTAGAAGTAGAAATTACATACCTGTCAGCCATTTCCAGCGCTATTTTTATACCGCTAATTAAACCATCAAATATCTTCTTGAAAAGAGAGTGAAAGTTAGCCTTTGTTATTGACGGTATTCTACTCAAACTGTTTCGAGACTTCTCCAAGTTCAAAATTTCATCTGGTAACCATTCTAAAATTGAAGTTATTACTTGAAGCGGTAGTGGTTCATTATTAATCCAATGATTTAACAATTGAACTACAGCTGATTTGTATTGAGTACTAGAATGATTATCTTCCGGCCATTGAAGACATAAGAACCCAAATGCCATTTTTGCTAAAAAGAACAGAACGTTCAATACTTAATCTGTAAAGATGTACAATACTTCTTACCATATTTCTCTTTGTTTTCTTTAGTGTAGGATTCAGAATGTTTCATTAATGATTGACACATATCAATTAATGACGTTGACAATGATATCTGCGTAGCAATATCGGATAAAGACTCAAAATATTTGCAAGATTCTGTGACAAGCTCTTTGCAAGATCGTAACGTAATATTATTTTCATCAATTTGACTAGCTAAAATGCGTAATCCCTCTAAAAGAGAAAATTCAAATTATTATAATATACTATAAATCATAACACATTATTATACAAATATATCACATACCTCGTAACAATATATTATATGTGACACTTTCAAATCCTTTCCAAGTGAAAATTTTTGTTAGAAGACGTAATAATAATCGAGCAGCCTCCCTACTTTGATTATCCTTCTCTTCTCGTAAAGTTTCTACAATATCTCGCAATTTTGCACAAATTTTAGGTAACAATTCGATTAAATCTTTTATACATTTTTCGTTAGTATCGTGTTCAAGGATTGCCAAGAGTTCCTGGACAATGAAACAAACTTGCTTCACAGATATCCCATGTCTTACAGATTGTGATACATGTATGTCCATTTTAACATCCAACAAATGCACTATCTATAAAAGATTACATTCACATTTATATTGACAAAATCTCCTTAATTTAAGTAACTACATATGTTTTTAATGTAGTCATACCGATGCATCGAATTTTCTGAAATAAATTGGGTTTTTTGAACATATCAAGAAACCAGTTTCCCAATCTTTAATTTCACTAAAACTAAGCGATTTTTTCTTCCCTTTTTTCCCTTTCTTGCCAATTTTTTTATCTATTCCAAAAAACGGTGGCAGCGGAAATTTATGAAAATAACAAGGAGGTGGTTGATATTTTGTATCGCACAACGTAAGTAATGTGCTCAGTTCAGTTTGTAAATCTATTAGATTATCCAGTCGTTGTAGTACTTGCTTTCTTAACAAAGGGTTTTTCTGTATAACAAAACCACTGATCACTTCACGGAACCTGAAATTAAGTTTCATCAAGCATTCGTGTATTTAATTTAATCATGCAATCTTTATTTCTCTTACCAATTAATGCAACATATTACTAAATCCACTATCGAATTTTCTGCTATATCAAGGCTTTCTGGCATTAAGATTGCACATCCCAAAAGAGAATTTATGGCTCCCAAATCTTTATTCTCACTGAGCCTTATATGACATGTTCGGAGAAGTTTAAAAGATATTGGAACAATCGCTCCATACTTTTTATTTTCAAAAGTTATAAAACAATTTCGTGGTTCGTCTTCTGATTTATTTAATCCAAATTTAGGAACAGAGTCTCCTCTAAATGTAACGTAGCATAAAAAGATGGAAATGTAATAGGAAATACTATACGTCTCAAATATTATAAAATATACCTATAATTTGTTTTGTTTATCATGTTTGTATTAACAAATTGTTCTTCGATATGATCTGCGAGAGACTTTATAAAGNGGTTTAAAATTAGATAATTGTTTCTGCATCAGTATGGATAGATCGTCGTGCAAAGAATCTGCTGTGGCACTGGAATTTGTACACAAATGTTGTAATAAGTCATTCAATGTACCAACCTCTTCTAGATTCAAGTTATCCATCTTTTCCAGCAAAATACGAAGATGATTACAATGTGACAACAAATATTCTCTATCCTCTTCCTTTTCGACCATTTTGCAAAGAAATAATAAAGTATTTTTTACAGTCTGGTCATTATCACCCATGAGGAATATAATTCTTTCTAAAATCTCTCGTTGTTTAAATATATTATTTTTATGACACTTGAACTGCAAACGGATCCAATCGATAGCGAAATCAGTAAATACACGTTCATCCGTCTTTAATAAATTGCTTGATATTTGTAACACAGTTGATTGTAACTCTTGTACTACCTGGAAAAACATTAACTTATTTTTTCTTAGACGTTAAGCAACTAAATATATCTAATAGTTATTTTATACAAACATGTTTATAATCATTATACAGCATATTTAATAAGCTAGCTCTGTAAAAGCCAGATCGTATGTGTTGTTTAAATATTGTTTCCACGAGTTTTCTTTTTATATCTGTTGTTTGAAATATGAGGAGCAACAGAATAATATCTAACGTCTTCGGATCCTTAGTGATATCTTTTATAACTGCTAAGGTTGTATTTATTACATTCTTTGAGAAAAGCATATTCATTTTTAAATTGTTGAATACATCTAACTGATTTTGATAGCACTCTTCAGCATCTTCCCCAACGAGAGGCTGCATATCAGTATCACGCAATACTTTTAATGCTTTTTCAAAAATGTCTATATTTGAATAATCTTCTAAAACAAATCTGTAGAACATAATAATTATAAGATAATTAGTATTATATTAAGCTATAATATTTAAAAATTATGAAACGTACTTTACAATGGCTGGTATTGCATTTACTTTAACGTTTGTCTTCAACAAGTTTAATGTTTTATCTTTAAATTCCTCCAAATATTCTTTGCCAAGATTTAAATTGGTCATACAATTTAATACTGATTTTACTAATACAGTATTCTCTTCTAGAAGTTTATTCAGAATTTCAGCCACAGTTTGATGTTGTTTGTCAGTTACAATATCGGGTAAGAATGTTATTAATTCAGTTTGAAACCATAGAGGACAAGATTCTAGGAGCTGTTCTAAGCTACTGGTCAGAGCATCAGAATTAATTACAACATCCAGGAAACGAAATTGTTGCAGTAATAGAAGAGCCCAAGGTACTGATTCCATAGAATCACTGAAAAAGGAAATGACAAAATGATAAAAGTTATGGAGAACTCCAAAGGGCTGTCGTAATAACAGAAAACATACGCTATAAGAACAGCTTCATTAAGTTTAGTCAGGAGACTGCTATATATTTCTGGATGTAATTCTGAAACTTGTAATAGAATTTTTACAAGACATGATGTATGCAAAATATTTGCCACTTCATTAGTATCTAATACTTCCATATCAATAAGAGCATTTTTAAGATTTTCTTCATTTTCAAAATACTTCTCCATTAGTGTGATTAATTCTGATTTTTCATACTTATTTGAATTCAGCAATTGTTTCATTTTCTTTTGAACTATTATGATATCCTTACCT